GGGGGTGAAATGAAGAGATGGGATGGGGTAGGGGGTGTTTGGATAATTAAACCTGTAAAAGGGCCCTTGATTCTGGACCGTTTGATCCAGTGAGATCAACGGTCCCGATTGAATATAATTAAAACGGGGTCGTTTTGGTTAAGCTGGGGCGGACCGGGTATGGGAGACGGGTCTGGGCTGGTTTTGGGTGGGTTTGGACGGGTTTTGTTTGGGCTTGGGGATCTTTTGGCCAAATTGGCCCAAAACCAGATTTTCTCTCTTATTTTTTTTCTAATTATTTATTTTTCAAAGATTAAAATTTAAAAATTCTAAATTAAGATATAAAAACCCAAATTATCTTAAAATACTATTATCTCTAAATAATAATTATCACACATAATTAATACTAAATTAAAAGAAAATCGCAAAATTTTGACATTAAACACTAAAATGCAAAAATACGTTATTTTTGTGAATTTTTCATTTTTGTAAAACAACATTTTACTAAATTAACCAAAAATATAAAATCAAATCGTAAGTGCAGATGCTATATTTTTTGTATTTTTTAATGCATTAATAAAATTAAATATACTCACAAAGATATGCAAACAATCAGGAAAATCGCACAGTAATTCCTAGAATAACACATAATTAAAGAAAAAAAACCTAATTTTGGGTATTCTTTTGGAGTAATTCATATGAGGCAAAAATCACGTGCTAACAGTAACAACTAGTTTTTAAAATAGGATATTAAAGAAAATATTCTAGTGGATGTTCTGTGCACTTGTAGTATTAAGGTTTGTTAGGAATGTGCCTCCTATAAATAGAAAAGAGACAATGATGGAGGGCATGTGATATTCATTTGTAAGAACACACCTTGATAAAAAGATATTCTTTCTCTTATTAAGATATAAACAACACCTTTTTTACCTAGATTCTTGTCCAAATTATTCCATATTTCCACCAAATCCGAGGATAATTTGAATATTCAAAGATTTGTTTGTCATTCATCATTGTTAGGATGAATAACATCTAGCTTCTCTTTTATTGAGTGAATCATTATCTCTTTATTACTTAAATGCCATTTATTGTTGTTCATTGCTATTTAAGGCTCATTTATTGCTTACGTTATTTGGAATGGTTGTCACACATCATTATTATATTTCTACCCGATTTGTCCAACTTTAGTCATGCTGTCATAACTCGCATCTAGAAATATTATTGTTAATTAGGTTTAACCTCTTAATACATAGATTTAATTATTTGAGCCAAGAACCACATTTTTGGTCAAGCACCTACTTAGGCCAATTTATTTAGTCGATTTTGCCATTAGAAACTTTATTGCAAATAATATCTATCTAGCGAAGAAATATTAGGCCATCTCCAACCTTGCCCCCATCCCCCGTAATGGGAAAAATATTTGGGGGAATTTAGCTCCAACCCTCCCCCATTTTTGTCCCCAAAATGGAGGATGAATAGTGTTCCCTCAAATATGGGGATACACTATTCATCTCTCCCATTACTATTCATCACTTTTTTATTATTATTTTATTATTTAATCTTTTAATTTATCTCTTTATATATATCTAATTATGTTTATGTAATGTATTTATAATATTAATATTATATCTTAACTTTGGTGTATAATTTTGATAAATTAATTTTTGTGCATTTATTATTTTTATGTAGAAATGGCAGTAGATGAAAATCAATGATTTCAAGAATTTTTATTTCAACATAGAAGAATTAAGGACAAAGATGCTCATTTTGCACTTCGTAATGCATTAATAGATCATTTATGGGAGAATACTAGAGGTTGAAGTTGAATATTTATCTAGTATTTCGAATGAATTTAATCGTTATGTAATATGTATTTAATTAATCTTGTATCACAATGATTTCACTTTTATTTGAATTATTAGTTAATCTATAATAATTGCTTGCAAATTATATTATTTAAAATTTTATGGAATTGTTTTAATTATGAAAATTACAAATTAATAAAAATAAAAGATGAAATTTGTTTAATGAAAATTAAAAAATGAAATTGAAATGAAAGATAATAATATAATATAGAAGAGAGAGAAGAATATAAAAAATTTGGAGAAAAAAATGGGGGAATAATTGGAGTAAGTTGTCCCCAAAATTGAAAAATCCCCATTTTGGGGACCAAAAATGAGGTAAAGGTCGGAGATGCCCTTACCCAACCTACATATTCCCTCCCCTCTTTAATTATTTGTCTGAACGAATGTGTACAGTGTACACCCTAGTCCAAAGTCGAAACTTGCCTTCCTCTTTCAACACTAACTCTAAAAATCTGTTTAGTGGGTATCGAAAGCTGCTTGGGTTTGGAAATTGAAAGCTTAATATAATTATTTTGATTTTGGATTCGGGTGGATATAATTAAAATTTATTGCAAATGTTTTCTTATAGCTCCAATAGGTCTATCTATTATGGCTTTGTCTAAAATGTACTCCTTCCGGTCTAAAATAAGTGATTTTTTACATGTTTTTACACAAATTAAGAAATTTACCTTTTAACGTTAATCAGCAATGAAATTGACCATATTAACCTTTACTATCTCTTTACATAAATACTTCTAACACACACTCCAACACTATTTACTCCAAGAGCAATGTAGGAAAAAAATAATTAATCATTCTTGAAATCTGAAAAAATCAATTATTTTGGACCACAAAAAAAAAGCAAAAAAATCACTTATTTTGGATCGAAGAAAGTAGCTGCTTTGAGTATGTTTTCAGCTTTAATAAGTAGTTGTGTTAGGGCCACGTTTGATCGTTTAGATTTGAGTGCTGCTTTCAGCCTCTTTAAGCTTAAATAGGCAGTAATTATAATTACTCCTTCCGGTTCACAATAAATGATCAATTTGCTTTTGGCACGCCCACTAAGAAAGTACTAAATTCTATACAAAATACCTAGTATAACTAAACTACCCTTAATTATATATTTAATGTGATGAGTAAGAAAACTTTTTTAGGGATATGTACATAAGAGTTATTTTGTAAAAACAAATTGAATTCTTTCTTGATTATATAAATGGATACTTATTTTGGACCAAAATAAAAAAGTAAATTGGTCACTTATTATTAGGGCTGCTTATCGGGCGGATTGGGCGGTTATTTACTCTTAACGGTTTGGCTTATCGGTTATCGGCTTTTAAATGTATTAATCCGCTAGCCACCCGATAAGGTATTGGCGGATTGGTATCGGTTTAGCTCTTATCGGGCGGTTTATCGGCCTAGCAATTCATATATATATATATATATCATTTATACATTCACGAGCCTCAGACATTGGCATGCCAGTGATTATTTTTATCAACTAGAAACTTGATTTAAAAGGATATTGCTAACCAGCAAGAATTTCCGACATGGCAAATACTTGTTCATCTCCATAATTTTTGTATCACTATATGTTGGCTTCTGCAAATAAGGTTCAGATGATAGCATGGTTGGTTTAATCTACGGTGAAGATGGGGTTTCCTTTAGTTAACTTTTCGCTCAAAGATCAAGAATTATGCAAGTTATACAGGACATCACTGACCATCTTGGGAATCAAACTCTGTAGCTTTCTATTCGTAATATCAGGGATAATAGAGAA